CACACACACACACTCACTCTCACTCTCTCACACCCTCACTCACACACACACACACACACACACACACTCTCTCACTCTCTCACACACACACACACCTGTCCTGGACTAATGATAACGGATAAAAAGGGTGAATCTCAAGAAATAACTCCTATTTCAGCCCAAAATAAATTAAAAAGGATTGTTGTTGAGTGAATAACATTGTGCATAAAAGTATAATTTAGGGGAAAATTAGCAAAAATGTATTACGTATGTGTGTATACATAATTACCTAAAATTATTAATTAAATTAATTTTTAATTAAAATTACAATCTTAAATGCAGCATTAAAATACTACCAGAAATTATATATATAATATATATGTTAGAAATATAGAAATTACCAATTAAGTACTACCATAAAGTATACATTTACACTTTTAAATATATATATATATATATATATATATATATATATACACACACACACACACACACATTTAATAATAATAATAATTTTTATGTGTTTTTTTCCATAATTAATTGCACCAAATGTAACTACAATGATGATGCATGTAAAATAAATAATGTCCTATACTGACCCTGACAGGAAGTTGCATTGTGGTACACATGTCCCTCCTCTGCTGTAGTTCTTGCAAGACACACACTGATTGGGTCCCAGACCCCAGCAGCCCTCAGATGAACACAGGGGATCACACACATGCCCTTCTTCAACTACAAGCACACAGCAATGATGAATATAGTTAATTAGCAATAATGAATAATGATATTTTTATCTTTAATATTTTTAGAATGTTTTCATGTTCTTTCACATTTAATAAGCAACATATTCCAGAGGACTTCTATGCTGGAACCCTTTCCAAGAGAAGTTGTGACTTTAAATTCATGGCACTATCAGAATTAAAGAGATAGTCCACCCAAAAATGAACATTTGCAAAAGAAGATATTTTGAAGCTCATCAAGCAGTTACAGTTCTCACTGACTTCGAATTTATTTTTTGTCAATGGGAACTGAAACTAAATTCCAATATTTACCAATATTCTACAAAATATCTTATTTTGTGTTCCACAGAAGAAAAGCAATTACATTACATGGGGGTGAGTAAAAATTAACAAAATTTTAATTTTGGGGTGAACTATCCCTTTAAAACCAATTCCTGATGACAAACTAGTCTTTCAGACAACCCATAACTAGTCCATTTGAAACATTTTGGTAGTACAGCATGTACTCACTGCACTGCTCTTGTGGGTGGTTGTCTTTGATGTCGAGGGGTTTCTGGCGGCGCCGAGGGCTGCTCCCGAACAGACGTGTCCAGTTCACGGTGTGGTGATAACAGAGCTGCTTGTTTCCAGTGATGTAGATGCCTCCGTCACCGATCCGTTTCAGTGAGCGAAGACCCAGGGACTTCAATGTAGGAATCTTCATCACCAAAAGCGAGTAACCCCTAAAGGAGAGCATGTGGAAAGGTCATTTGAAAAATAAAAGACAAATTAAATTACATGGTTCTTTCAAGTCAACATGAAATTGACTGACACATTTTTTTTTATTCGGATTGCTGGTTTCATTGATGCATGTGAAAATCTATAGATTCCTAATTGATCAAATCAAGTCCCACTGAATATGTTTCATTCAGAAATCTATCAGTTAATGAGTTCAGTTTATTCTTGATTCTTTTTAGCATGAATATTTTCATTTAGATTTACCTTTTAAAGGTTTGTGTTTTTTTTGTCTCTAATGCCACCAAGGCTGCATTTATTTATTTTTTAAATTGAGTAAAAACTGTAATACTATGAAAAATTATTACAATTTTAAATAACTGAAATTTTAATATTTATTATTTGAAATAGAAATCCTTCGTAACATTATAAATATCTTTACTGTCACTTTTGATCCCTTTAATGCATCCTTGCTGAGTAAAAGTACAAAAAAAGTAATACAAATCTCATTAACTACAAACCTTTGAATAGTAGTGTATGTCAGATAACTAACTAAAATAGGTTGTGAACACAATTTCATGTTGACTTTAAGACTCTTGAAATCCCAATCTAAAACTGCTGCAATGTGTTAGTTGCAACAACAAAATCATCGTTCAAAAAATAACATCACTTCCGTTCCATGTACTTTCATGAGGACCCTAGCCATATAATTCAAATAACATCTCAAGAGCCTCATTCATAAATAAACATTTCATGATCGACAGAAATGCTTCCATGCAAGATTCCCAACCACCAATCTGAAGCTTAGAAATACCACACCACTGAGCGGATTGTAAAGCACTTAAAATATGAGATTCAAATGATTTATTTATGAATATATAGAATAATCAAGCAAAGAGAGAAAAAGGAATACAAGCTAAAAGCTAAACACACAATCCTACCTCTTACTGCTTATTCCTCTGGAGGTAGAGCATGAAAGCAGTACAAAAATGAATAATGAATGTCACACAACTTTTAGAAATGTCAGGCAAAAATGAGATCGGAATTATAATACTGACATTTTATTATTTTTTTTTACTTTTCCAAAGAAACTTTGTAACTATTTAGAATTGTTTTCATTAATTAAAAAATAAATATTTGATGAAAACCTTAAACTTACAAAACTTGCATGAAAAATAAAACTTGCATACTTAAAATAAAATAAATATCAAAATAAACTAAATAAATAATAAAGACTAAGAAACACATAATATGTAATAAAATGATAATATATTAATAGTACTAAATTGTTTAACTTGTTGCTAGGCTGTTGCATACTGGTTCAAATAAAAAAAATCCCTACACTACATATGGTCTCGAATAATGAATGTCACACAACTTTTAGAAATGTCAGGCAAAAATGAGATCGGAATTATAATACTGACATTTTATTATTTTTTTTTACTTTTCCAAAGAAACTTTGTAACTATTTAGAATTGTTTTCATTAATTAAAAAATAAATATTTGATGAAAACCTTAAACTTACAAAACTTGCATGAAAAATAAAACTTGCATACTTAAAATAAAATAAATATCAAAATAAACTAAATAAATAATAAAGACTAAGAAACACATAATATATTAATAGTACTAAATTGTTTAACTTGTTGCTAGGCTGTTGCATACTGGTTCAAATAAAAAAAATCCCTACACTACATATGGTCCCACCTTAAGTGTAAGTAAGGTTTTTTTTAAACTGTTTAATTGTCAGCTAGATAAATCCAATCACTTCGAAAAGTAATAGCACACCTCTCCATTACAAGTTGGATGATTTAAAGTATCGTTCATGTCTGTAGCACAAACAGTGCAAGCACAGCTTATAACATGAATGCTTTGTTTACACTGATGCAGAGTTAAGAAATCAGGAGACAATGTAAATGACTAACAAACAAAGAATGGGCAGGTTGCTCACCTGTACAGAGTTCTTCCCTGTATTGTTGCTAGATTTGAGAAGACAGAAAGATCTTCCAGCTCTTCAGGCCAAGACTGAATACTCAGAATGTCTGTCAAGCAGACAGAAGACTGAGTTAGATGATGTACAGAGAGGGCAGAAGAAATGACAAAGATACACACACCTGTGATTTCTCTGACAGTGTTGAAGATCTTCAGTTTCTTTGGATCGAGAGCACTAATATTATTGTAACTGTCTCTGTAGAGGAAAGAAAGGTACAGAAAGGTCACCATTTCTGAACAGCATGCAATGCATACTGCAACTACTGTATATTTGGGTCACTTTTGGCCAAGTGGACTTTTACAAAAGAAACTCCTTTCACGCTCTTATTAGTTTAATTTGTACAAGAGTGGGTAATAATGGAGACCACTTTCATTTTTGTCATGAACATTTCAATCACCAGTGTCTCAAATGCTGATGATCTCAAATCTCACCCTCTAATTCCTGTTACAAGGAAATGCAGGCTGCCCTGAATCTTAGTGCAGTTTATGAAGCTGTCGATATTCTGTGAGTCTACGGTCTGTCTGGAAGGTGTACCAGTGCCAACACATGCTGCACAAATAGAGAAATCAGAGAGAACACAGTTATGGTTAAGAACACACAAAGATGGACATGAAGGAGATTGTGCTTGTTTCTCAACGAACAGTGAAGCACCTTTTAATAATAATGCTAAGCAATAACAATGCAACTCATCTTTGGAGACATACAGGAGTGGCATACTGTTCATTAAAGGTCAAAAGGTCAAAGACAACTTTATTGTAATTTTTAGCACATTTTGTGGCAATGGTTAAAAATAAAACACATTCAATGGTGACACATTCAGTGGATATTCAAAAGGACTAGGAAAAAGACAACAGTGAATATAAACAATGGCATTACAAGTATCATATTCAGGAAAATCAGTAAATCGTTCATAGTCTTTAGAGGTTTTTGCTTGTAAAGTATTTTTTCCCCCAAAAAAATACAAAAAGCTTTACATACACTATTGGACGAATGTTTGAAATAATTTTTTCATGTTTTTAAATGAATTAAGTGTTTTTTGCTCGCCAAGGTGGCATTTACTTGATCAAAACTATTGTAAAAACAGTAATATTGTGAAGAATGATTTCACAAAATAACCATTTTCTATTTAAATTTTTTTTTTTAAATGTAATTTATTTCTGTGATGCAAAGCTGGATTTTCAGCATCATTACGCCAGTCTTCAGTGTCACATTATCTTTCAGAAATCAAAAAATGCTGATTTTCTGTTCAGTTACTGTGCATTATTACTGGTGCTTAATTATTAATAATGGTTCTTATTATTACCAATGTTGAAAACTTAGTTTTTTTTCTGCTTAATATTTTTGTGGAAACTCATACATTTACATACTGAGGACTGAAGTAATGATGCTGAAAATGTAGCTTTGCATCACATGAATAAATTTCATATTAAAACATACTAAAATTGAAAACAGCTGTTTTAAATTGTAATAATATTTCTATTTTACTGTATTTATTGAATAAATAAATGCAGCCTTGGTGAGCAAAGATGTCTTTGAAAATTAAAAAAAATCGCAATTATGCCACACTTTTGACCAGCAGTGTAAAAAAAAAACAATAGAAGTCTATGGTATGCACCCATTTAGATAACTGGGTAAACAAAGTGTGCATCTTACCTTTCGGACAGAGACCCCCACACGGCTCACATCTTTTCACCCCTTTTTTATCCACCTCCATCTTGTTTGCCGGACAGCTGCTAACACACGAACTTCCGTCTACAACAAAGTTAGCTGAAGAGAACAGAGCAAATAAGTATACACTGTATGAAAATTGTCAAACTATTACCATAAATCCTACAAAAACCCTATTTAGGTCCCATTAGGAGAGTGGGACATTCCGTTTTGGCATTAAAACCTACATTGCTATGTTACAGGTAAATGCACTCCATGTAACCCAAGGAATCACTTACTAGGACAATGTGTTACACATATTGTGCCGTACTGGTATTTTGCATTAGGATTTGGTTCCAATTTGAACGTCACTTTATTATAGATGAGAGCCTGTGGACACTGCGGCACACATGACCCCGAGCTGTTAAAATGTCTGCAGGCCTGTGAACACACAGACACCCAAGTCAAAGCAAGCAAGGTTTGATTCATGAATCTGGTATGTAAGCGCAACACATGTTCAAGAACTGGTGAAAGTGTGTTGAACATACAAAGCAGTTGGTGTCAAGCGGCCCGGTGCAGCCCCCGGCACACTCTATGTGACAACACTCGCTCGGGCTACGGCCGAAACAGCGGCCATTGCACTGTGGTGCGCACACTGTCTTAGTCACTGAGAACAGGAGAGAAACATAGTGAGCAGTGTGTGTGAGAGATACTGAAAGTTGAACAACATGTGTGTGTGTGTGAGTTTCCAAGGACTTACAGATTTGACAAGAGTCATTTCCTGGACCCCAACAGCGACCCCCACAAGACCCATGACAGGGAACTAAACAGAAAATGCACTATAATTTATACATTTCCATAAGATCATCATTCAAACTTAATATCATAAGTAAATCTTCAACTACATATATAAAATATATAAAACGGTGAACCCCTTTAAGCCTCCTTAAGTTATGAAAAGACAAAATCTGAGCCTCTGATATATATATATATTATATATATATATATATATATATATATATATATATATATATATATATATATATATATATATACACAGTATATATAAATAGTTTGTTCATTATACACTACCATTCCAAAGTTTGTGGTCAGTAAGATTTAAAAAAATAAATTAATAGTTTTCTTTTACTTGATTTTAACTGATCAATAGTGGCAGCAAAGAAATTTATAATGTCACAAAAAAAAATTCTAATGAATGCTGTCATTTTGAAAGTTCTATTCATCAAAGAATCTTGAAAAATAAAATGTATCAGGGTTTCCACAAAAATATTAAGCAGCAAAAACTACTTTTCAACACTAATATGCTTCTTCGGCAGCAAATCAGCATATTAGAATCATTTCTGAAGACTGGAGTAATGATGCTGAAAAATCAGCTTTATACCATCACATGAATAAATTACATTTTATAATATATGAAAATAGAAAACATTTATTTTAAATTGTAATAATATTTTACAATATTATTGCTTTTTACTGTTTTTTAATCAAATAAATGCAGCCTTGCTGAGCGTAAGAAACGTCTTTCAAAAACAGTAGAAAAATCCCATTAGTAAAAAGTTACCAATCCCAAACTTTTTAACAGTATATTAACATATATTATATTACATATTGTAATGTTTTATGTCTCCTTACATTCTGGTCCGTTGTCTTCGATGATGATTTCTGCCCCACTGTCTTTCACAATGTCTAGCCAGTTAATCTGCGGTGCATAGCTCAAGAATTTATTCTGGATGATTTGCACTCCACCCTCCAGGATCTCTGCAGATAACGATAAATATGAGAAATATGGAAATATTAAGATAAGATCAAAGACATAATGGTAGAACTCGAAACTTGAAACCTGTCCTCTAAACTCTCAGAAAGAAGATAAATATATATAAAATGCTGGGTTAAACACAGCCCAGCGTTGGGTAAAATATGGACAAACCCAGCGATTGGGTTGTTTTGACCCTGCATTTGGGTTACTACATTTAACCCAACCGCTGGGTCAAAAGAACCAAATTGCTGGGTTTGTCCATATTTTACCAAATGCTGGGTTGTATTTAACCCAGCATTTTATAGAGTATATATATATAGTATATATATATATATATATATATATATATATATATATATATATATATATATATATATATACACATGTGTATCTAAAATAATAATAGAATATTAGAATATCGTGAAAAAATAAATTTTTTGTAACTTATTTCAAAAATGAAACTTTCATATATTCTAGATTCATTCCATGTAAAGTAAAACAAAAATCCAGTATCTCGAAAATCAAAAATCCAGTATCTCGAAATATTAGAATATTTACATTTGAGTTTCATTAAATGACCATCCCTACAGTATAAATTCCAGGTATCTCTTGTTCTTAGATAAGATCAAAGACATAATGGTAGAACTCGAAACTTGAAACCTGTCCTCTAAACTCTCAGAAAGAAGATAAATATATATAAAATGCTGGGTTAAACACAGCCCAGCGTTGGGTAAAATATGGACAAACCCAGCGATTGGGTTGTTTTGACCCTGCATTTGGGTTACTACATTTAACCCAACCGCTGGGTCAAAAGAACCAAATTGCTGGGTTTGTCCATATTTTACCAAATGCTGGGTTGTATTTAACCCAGCATTTTATAGAGTATATATACATAGTATATATATATATATATATATATATATATATATATATATATATATATATATATATATAT